ACATTTCAGGAGTAAATGCCATGCTTGCTATGCTTACTATTGTGATAGCACCATGAGCTTCTATATATAAAGTTATCACTTACTGTGTCAACAGCAACTGAACTGCACATAATAAGTCAGCTGGAACATCTTAAAGAAGAGGTGGCTGTTGTCAAGCAGCTGTTATTATCACTGACAAATTGCACCTCTCCAGCTGCAGTCCTGCCAGAGGGCATATGTTTTCCACTGAACAACTTGCAGGACCTAGAAATGGTGGAAAATAGGCTTAAGGAGGAGGCCTGCTACAGGGAAATGGTACATTTGGTTTTCTCAGATGCCATGTTCCATCACAAGTTTATTACATTTTCCATTATAGTTTGCTGCTGTCTTGTGAATACACTAATATATTATTACCTCAATTTAGGTAAAGTATCTGGCAACAATTGGGGGTCCCAACCCATCTGCCAACACAAGACGCATCCTTGTGCATATGCTAACTACTCCACTGGCGCAGCAGTTGTGCTGGCAGGGCTCTGGCCAGAAGATGGCCTTTGGGGAGATGCTGGTCTGCAGAGCAGTCATCAGTGTATCCAATGTGCCCACAGTATACCCCAAAGTATGCCCAATGTGCCTACAGTACACCCCACAGTGTGCCCAATGTGCCCACAGGGGAGCATCCAGCAGGCCAAAAAATGCAGGGCATGTATGTGTAGGTAACTGATCAGCTATACTGATCTATGCTTCTATCCAGCGGGGAAAACCATATCTGCATCATCTTTCTCTACACGGCACCCTCCTAACTATAGCTCCCGTTCTCTCGCTTATACCTGAAGTTAAGAAATGACCGTTTTTTCCTCTTATGTAGAGAGCACACATCCCACACTTATTTCATGTTATGTCCTCGATCCTCCTCCTCGCGTTTAGCAACACGGGATATTTTGCGATGCCTTCGGCAAGAAGTTCAAGGGTCGTTGAACCATCCAATCAGAGTCAGAGATAAAAAGTCAGAATTACGAGATAAAAAGTCAGAGTTCTGAGATAAATGGGTTTTTTTTCTCCTCCGGGTGGCGGAAACGGGCTTCCATAGCATTTGTATTACATTCTTCCACATAATTATTACAGATTATGTTACCGTCTGAGGCGGCTCTGCTTGCGTAGAGCTCGCCGAAGAATTGACGCGTAGTTTCACTTCCTTGTTTTCTAACGTAGTTTCATGGTCTCCTTTCTCTAGCACTTTCCTCCTAACTAAAGAAACAGACTGCACTACTTGACGTAACGAAGAATAACAGCCATGCAAATATATACGAAATAAGATAAAATAAGACTGTCATTTAAATGATCAGTTTACAATTAGTGTAGAGAATGATTTATGCGCAGTAAGTTTATTTACTATTGTCTGAAAGTTTTAGTGTTAACAGTACAACCTATATGACACCTTTAGACATATCTTTCAAATACCATGTATGTCATTCTGTATTATTTTACGATTCAATTCTATTCTATAAAATGCAAGCTGATCGGTTTACTTACCCTCCTCAGATTTGAAACTGACGATAAATCTTCTGGTAACCTCGTTGTATTCAACCACACAGTCTCCACCGTTAGACTTTTTCTTACTTTGAAAGTATATCTGAAGCTTGGTTTTCAATTTTCGATTTGGGCAACCCCACTCGCCATCAACTTCAACTGGGTACAGAAAATCCTCCATCGTTTAATTAGGCTATGACTTGCAGTGTGTTCCTGAACTTCACGCTAAGTTTCACTTTCGATTCAGAGTTGTTTTGTAATTAGGTCGTGTAACCGATAAAGGTTCGGGATAGTCCCCAGATAGCACACATATGTTGAAATGACATTGATTCCATAGAGGTTGAAACAACGCTGATCTTCAATGTTGATTTAGCATTGATCTTGCTCGTTGAAAAAAATCATTTGTGATAAGGATTCAACGTTGTTTCGACACTTGTTTGGTAGATTCTTTATTCATTGATTTAATGTTGAATTAGTGTATGTTGAATCAATATTGGGTTATAATTGTTTCGCAAATGAATTAATGATGAAATTATGCTATATCCAGCAGGGCTGTCAGGTCCGCGTACCGGCCGAGCGAGCAGGGAGCGTGGAATCAAGATCAGGTAGATCGACGTACAACAAACAGGGGATTTATTGAGGGCAAGTACAAACACACGGTGAAGACTCCAATGACAGACTCGAACGGACTCGAACGCGGACTGAAATACACCGGACTAATCAGGAATAACACGAAACAGCTGATAAAAATCGGGGTTTCACACGAAGTAACGAGGGGGGCGTGGCACACGGAAGGATCGTACGAGCAGGTACAAGGGCTTTCAAAAGCTTAATAAAACAACAACATGTACAAATATAAATTGAAAACAATTTATTATTCATAACACATTATATATACATTCACAGAAAAATAGCACAATGGTGGCAATTTGGTAGTAATTTTATAACAATCACAAAAACATTGAAGTGCTAAATGACCCTCCCATCCTGCCCACACCCACTTCTGTTCATTTTCTCTTTGCACCTCCCCGAGGTTCTGGTGCATATGGAAGACATTTCGTCACAGCATCACTGAAGATACGATGGGTCACTTCCTTGTAGTGGTGCCGTGGAGCTTCTGATATTGAAGAGAAAATAATTTGTCATTAAAGATTTAACAAAGGTAAAGATTTACAGTTATTTGATCAACAGTACATAGCTGAATTGTTTGATCTACAGTTACTAAAATGGATCAGCATCTCCCTTTCGATTTGTATTTAGAGGACAAAAATCACTGTAAATAGAAATTTAAATTATTATAATTAAGCGATTGATTTTACAAGGATTTTAATACAAATCCCATTTCCAAAACTGTTGGGATGGCATGTAAAGTGTAAATAAAAACACTTTGACATTTTGAAAGAGCTGTGAAATCTTACAGTGGAAGTGGAAGTGCAGTAATTCTCTGATCTCTGCAAACAGATTTTTTTTTAAAGAAAATATAATTATGCAAACCTTTTAAACATGCAACTGTAAAAAGTATTTTTGAAGTTTAAACTAATAAGTCTGTCAAAGTGAAAATAAACTTGTCATCTCCGCTATGAGACCAGAACACATGGTTCTAGTTATTACAGAGTACAAGTTTTTTTTATAAATAAATTACAAATATCAACTTTAAACACAAAAGCTTACAATAGGTAGGCTATTTCAGACATACAGAATTTGTGCAAATGTTGGAAAAGCAGTAAAGTAGAAAACAATTTGAATAGTGGAACGTGACTGTGTGCATTACGTGTGTGGGCTCCCAAGTCTCCCGCAAGGATCAGACACACGCCTTGCCCCTGACCATGGGCGTAATTTCCAGGGAGGTTAGGGGGGTCATGACCCCCCCAATAACCAGATCCAGCCAATATAACCCCCCCAATAATCATGTTTTCTCTGTAATGGGTGGAGACCTCGACCCCGCCCCCCCCAATGTTCCAGCCAAAGTTACGCCCTTGCCCCTGACAGATATATAATCCAAGCCCCAGGCTGGTTATAATTTGCATGTTTATCAGTGTCCATCACCTGCATGTAAATAACTCGTAGTAACGTAATACTGTAAGTGTCGTGTGTGCCGGTAGTTGTGTCTTGTTTAATTGCGTGTTGAGGCCCTGCATGTAAGCTACCCACCGTGTGCGGTTCCACCTGTTTGTAGAGTGACTCCCCTGTCAGTAACACAGAGGTACATACTGTAGGTGTTTTTTTTTGTGTGCGCTTTGCTGTGAGTGAGTTTTGTTGATGGCTACTTAAATTAACGACATTTAATAAAAACAACATTTCTAGACTGTTTCACGTATAAGCATTTTTGCTGTGCATGTTTAGGTATACCTACAGCGGATGTCACAACATTATTTTCGGTGAAAAGCTTATATGTTGAACATAGCATTGCTTTGCATGTTTTTACCGCGTGGAAATGTCTTTTTTGACCTATGTCCAGACAACATGAGCCAGCAAAGTCTTACGGAATTTTCAGCTTTACTGCTACCCAGTTTAAAACATTTGTTAGAAAAGTAATCAAAAAGTAGTAAGATGTAATAATTTGCATTACACTGATGAAGTAATCAAAAGTTACATTACCTGTAACATTTTAACAGAGTAACTAGTAATCTGTAACCTATTACATTACAAAAGTAACCTTCCAACACTGCCAAAGTCTCAAAACATGGCTGCATTACGTAAATCTTTCGTTACCGTACGGCAAAAAAAAAAATACTATTGCCAGCATAACTAGTGTAGAAATTTCCAATTGCCAGTAGATGGCACTGCACTCAACAATCACCAGCAAAGGCGTCCAGTTCAGTAAACGAACTCTTGGTTCTTGAATTCAAAAAAGAAATAAAAATGAGCACTGAAATGTGGTTTTGTGATATAAAATTAAATATACAAATAAAGTAATTAGTCATGTCTCTTTCTTCACTGGTAGTAGTTTTTAAAAATCATAAACTTTCAGTTTTGCCAAGTCATGCAAATTTTCAGCAAAAAGCAAATATAACTCCACAAGTTGCATGGCAAATTTTGAGGAAATGCAAAGCGAAGCGTTTTTGTACGCAGAAAAACTTCTTGAAACTGGGAAACATTAAAGAAAAATTAAAAGCACTAAACTTTGTAATCCATTTTAATCAATGCCTGATACACTGGAAGAACATGGGTTTGTCTCATAATAGTACAGACAGAGGAAAGAGAATGTGGGTGTGTCTCATAATAGCTCAGGTAAAGCGTAGGAGAACGTGGATCTGTTTTATAATAACACAGACAGAGAGCCGGAGCGCGCGGGACTGTTTTGTAATATCAGAGACAGCAGGAGAAACTGGAAATTTGTTGTCCTGCTTTTTCTGTTGCCTTTCAACAATAACAGGAAGAGACTCTATGCATTTTCTTTCAGGACTGAACTGCCATAAAAAAATCTGTGACAGTGGATCGTCATAGGAGGAGCTTAAGAGGAGGTCCCCGGATTTCTCCTACCTCTATGATGAGACCAAGGACTCCTTTTGCCCTCATATAGTCCTGCTGCCTGCATTCTGTGAAAAAAATTGGAGAAGACATCATATTTCATTTTTAACCCTCCTACAGTGAGCTCAGACTGGCCTGACTATCCACTGTGACAAAAAGAAGAGTCCCCAGTCCCTTGTATTATTATGTTAATTTAAAGGTTCTTTCAATGGCCTCATCTGTGCAGAATGGAAACAGCGGTCACTCAGGGGAACCTCTTTGCAGTGCTGCACTTACATGGTGGTTTCTGCTGAGCTGTTTAGAGAAAAATGATATGAATGAATGAATACCCCCACCCATCTATTTCATGTTTTAATAAGAAGTATGTACAAAAGTGTTATCACAGACAGGCAGACACACATACATACAGATTTGGTATCTATATCTTTATGAACATTCTCCATTCATTTATATGGGCAAAACCCTAATCTCAAAGATGACAACCCTAACCGCTACCCAGCCCTAACAGTAACTATAAGTAACCAAACAAAATAGTGTTTTGGCCTTTTTAGCTTTAGATTTGTCACAGAGTTTTATAAAATTGAGTTTCTCCTTGTGGGACCAAACAATGGTCCCCACAATGTCAAAAATAATAGGTTTTTATCACATTGTGGAGACATGGTCCCCACAACGTATTATATACTTGACCCACACACATATACACACACATTTAAAATATATGTTTTAGTGTATCCTATTTTTTCCATATATCAAAGGGATGAGGGTAAGGATCTAAATGACTTTGACTAGGGCCAAACTGTGATGGATAGGCAGCTGTTACCAGTACGCTGTGGTCAGTACTTACCAGATGTGGTCCAAGGAAGGCCAACCAGTGAACCAGCGATGAGGTCTTGGGCTCCCAAGACTCAGTGATGTGCATGGGGAGTGAAGGCTAGCCTGTCTGGTCCGATCCCACAGGAGATCTACTATAGGACAAGTTTCTGAAAAAGATAATGCTGGCTATGATAGAAATATGTCAGAAAACACAATACATTGCGTCTTGCTGGTTATGGGGCCAGTCAGACCAGTCAGAGCTCCCATGCTGACCCCTGTCCACCACTGAAAATGCCTATAATGGGCACAGGAGCGTCAGAACTGGACCATAAAGCAATGGAAGAAGGTGGGCTGGTCTGAGGAGACGTGGTCTGTTACATCAAGTGGACGGCCGGGTGCATATGCGGCATTATAACAGGGGAAGAGATGGAACCAGGATGCACTATGAGAAGAAGGCAGGCTGGCGGAGGCAGTGTGATGCTCTGAGAAATGTTCTGCTAGGAAGCCTTGGGTCTTGGTGTTCATGTTGATGTTACTTTGACACGATCCACCAACCTAAACACTGCTGAAGGCCAATTACACCCCTTCATGTTAACAGTATTTCTCCCAATGGCAGTGGTCTCTTTCAACAGGGTAATACACTCTACCACACTCTGATAGATGCTCAGCAATGGTTTGAGGAACATGAAATAGAGTTCAAGGTGTTGATTTGGCCTCCAAATTCCCAAGATCTCAATCTGATCGATCATCTGTGGGATGTGCTGGACAAACGAGTCTGATCCATGGAGGCTCCACCTCCCAGTTTACAGGACTTAAAGGATCTTCTGCCAATGTCTTAGTGCCAGATACCACAGGACACCTTCAGGCAATAGCGGAGCCAGAAATCACTGTGTGGGTAGGTCCATAGAAAATTAAGTAGGCCAGTCCCATAATAATTCATTTGGTGACATAATCGCACTACAGATTCAACTACATATTTTTTTTTATCAGTTATTAAATGACCCGTAGCATTACTTTCACCAAATGAACAAAGAGAAAGAAAAATCTATTTACCTCTCAATAGTACATTTCCCCGAATGATCTAACCACAAATACACATACCTGTCAGACACAATCGTTTTATTGTTCATTTGCTGTGAATACTGATTGGGGCTGAGCTACTGGGTGGGCACCGGACCGTGGTGACCACTGTGGTACCCTTCAGAGATCCAGCAGAGTCTCTGCCTCAATGAGTCACAGCTGCTGTGGCTTCACAAAGGGGACCTACATAATATTAGGTAGGTGGTTTTAATGTTATGGCTGATCAACACACATTGTATACACACATTTGTATGTGTGTATATATAAGTAACCCAACAGAGCACTATATGTGGCAGGTGTGTGCAAAACAGGTACGCAGAAGATCTATCTCCCTGAGATACAAAGATTTTGGAGGAAACAGCTGTTTTAATAGTGTTTGATAGATGGAAGAGTGTTTCATGGACAGGTGGCAAGGAAGAGAACCTAATTCAGCAAAAAACACAACAGTAAATTAACGTTGAGGTTTTTCCTGCTGTTACATGCTGAACACTTCACACACTGCACACAGAGTGACTGGTAGCGTGTTACTTTGTTTGGCAGCCCGTCAATGTTGTTTAACGACATCGCAGAATTCCTTCCATTAGTTTCAGGTCAACAAGAAAATCACGTGGGAACATTCAGAAATGTTTTTAATATGTTTGAAATGGCACAGCCATTTTGTGTGTGGGATCTTTAAATAAATTTAAACATCTGTATTTGGTAACCATGGTGAGATAGGAAAGACTGGAAAGCAGTCAGCAGTGTGAGCTCTTTTTGAGGGTTATTGCTAATTTGTACTTTATTTCCTTCTTATAGTGTGAATGACCATTCCTATGCAATCTAATTAGTGTTTTACCCTATACTTACCTTAATGTCTATTACTTGTTCCGTCACAGATCTGTTGTCATGGAGACAGCAGCCATTTCACTTCCTCTTCATTTATTTACCATGGTCTTCTCTTGCTCTCGTTCTCCTTAATGCCTTCAGCTTTCTGTTCCCTTTCTCCCTCAGGTCATGCCAGACTCAGCAGCAGATATAGCAGAGCATGGGTCTGAGAGTCAATAACTCTGTAATAAATTAGTAAGAGGGGCCAGTTGGCCTTTATGTGCAGACTGGACCCCTGGTAGTTGACATGCAGGACCGTGGTCATGGCATCATTTAGTCATTCCAGTGCAGTGATGCTGGTTCCCCTATAACCTCCCCATAGTGCAGGCCTGGGAAATGATCTTCCATGGAGGGCCAAATATGTCAGCTGTGGTCATTTTACAAACATTATTTTTATGTCCCATGAAACCTACAATAATAGACATGTTAGATTTTATGGTAACACTTTGCTGTCATCTGTAAGGCACTATAGATATCTTTATAATGCATTATAATGGTCGGTATAAGTATTAAGGATGCCTTGCACTGCATTATGCATCATAATGCATAATAAATATGAGTATATATTATGCCTTTTTCTAAATATTTATAGCCACGTTTATAATGCTTTATGAATGCATTATAGTGTGTTATGAATGTGATCATAGATTGTTATAGGCATAGCATTCATAGGAAGCGTTACCAATATAACGAATGAGTAAAAGTCTTAGGTACAGAATTCCCCATAAGCAGCAAAATACACTTAATGTACAACAGTTGTAAACATATGTATTACCACGTCACAGACAGGATTCGAACCTGTGCGGGGAAACCCCACTGGATTTCGAGTCCAACACCTTAACCTCTCGGTCACCGTGACGGTGAAGTTCTTGTTGCATTTCTCATATGAGCAGTCGAACCCGGCCCACCTGGAGGGGAAACCAGGAATCTGCACTGCTGTTTGTATTATTATTATTATTTATCATTTTTATTATTATCAATAATACTGATAATAATTCCAAGAAAGATTTGAGAGCAAATAGGTCTGCCATAGCGTGATGTCTGAGTGTGTGTCTGAGGAGTATGAGCAGAGAGTGATATGTTTACGAAAGGTGAGCGCCCCCCACAGGCTGCTCTCTGTCAGGACAGGGGTTAATGAGATGAGGCGGGGAGTCACTGTGTACTGTACTGAGGGGCCCCTGCAGGTGCTACCAGGCATGTCTGACACGGAGGAGCATTAGAGGAGCTGCCTGATGTGGGCTCTGACCTCTGACCTCTAATCTGGCAAGTGCTGGTGGTTTCTGTAGTATCATTATGTAATGTAGTTTTTTGGCATGTATTTTGGAATACACGTATTATGCAGGTTCCCAGTACTTCAAATGGTACTCCAAACAGACTAGTACTCCACTCAGATCAGTAATTCAAAGAAACAAGTGATAAAGGGTGAGAACAGTTAACTTTTTTTGCCATAGCAACGAGGGAAACTAGTGTTCCCTCTCACGTCATAACAAGAAGGCAAGCTTGACAATTTGTTTCCCTCTGTTTCATATTAAGATTATGGAAGAATGATAATTCTCAATTTTCTTTGTACAGCAAAAGAATGACAGCCTCCCATCACCCTGGTTGCCAGTGTACCACAACAACCTTTTGTCACCTGTGACC